GCTTTTTTCTTTTTGCTTATGTGGTGCTAGGGAATCAAACCTAGGGCCTCATGCATGCAAGGCAAGCGCTCTACCACTGAGCCACCTTCCCAGCCCCTCTGTGAGACTCTTATCTCCAATAAACCACTAGAAAACCAGAAGTGGTGCTGTGGCTCACGCAGTAGAGCACTCACCTTGAGCTGAAGAGCTGAGGGATAGCACCCAAGTCCAGAGTTCAAGCCCCACGACCAACTGGAAAAAAAAAAAAAAACAGAAAACTGGACAGGGAGCTGTCAAAGTGGTAAACTGCTAGGCTTGTGCAAAAAAGCTCAGGGACAGCACCCACGTGCTGAGTTCAAGCTGCAGAACTGGAAAACACACACACACACACAAATTAAAAAATAGGCCTGGGAAGAGAAAGAATGATGGAAAGGGTGATATTAAGATGCATTGTAGGGCTGGGAAGGTAGCTCAGTGGTATACTGCTTGCCTCGCATGCATGAGGCCCTGAGTTCAATTAGCACCACATAAGCAGAAAAAGCCGGAAGTTGTGCTGTGGCTCAAGTGGTAGAACGCTAGCCTTGAGCTGAATAGCTGAGGGACAGCGCCCAGGCCTAGAGTTCAAGTCCCATGACCACACACACAAAAAAAAAGATGCACTATAGTCAAATCGACATGTTGAATTAAAATTTTTTAGTATAGCTACTTAAATATAAATAATAAAAAGATTAAAGATAATAATTTTAAAATAAATTTTAATGGGCCTTAATAGATAACGCACCCAAAATGACACACAGATAGCAAATGTGCACTAGAAAGATGTTCCGTATCACATATCAGGGAATGCAGATTAAAGCAATGGCTTATATAAATGACTTTATAAGCCACACCTTAGAAAGTCTCATTTTTAGACAAAGAAACAATTACAAATGCATAAACCAACTGCAAAGGTCAGGAATCTTTAAATGTGATAAAATTTAAGATGATTACTGTTTTGCTTCTGAATCCTGTTTTCCATAAAACATCATATTAATTGCAGTAATAAAACTCTCAATATTATCAAAAGGAAAGGAAATTCAAAGGAAAGATATGTATTTTACAAAAATCAAATTCTTTTTCTCAACTAGATATATTTATAAGGAGAGTTGAATCACTATTAGTGAATAGAGTTTTTTCTTGTTTTATATAATAATTTCTTGTTTTAAATGGCTTTATTCATTTCTAGCTGAGTGGGTCTAGTCAAAAGGAATGAAAGAGTTAATAATGACACAGTTCAAGAGTGGCTGCATAAATCAGGGAGCATGAATGATCCCATTATCTGGTAATGGATCCCTGGCTTTGAGGAGCTTTTCTAAAGATAAATCCACACAGTTTGTTCACAAATAAAATAAAATAAAATTAAAAAAAAAAAGATAAATCCACAAATGCAGCCACATAAGGAGGACCTTCTAAAAGTCAATGCCTGATTCCAATATAAAATGATGGGATGTATGCGATGACACAGGATAGATTGGAGTTCTCTGTGGTGAAACTTTATCACTTCAGAGATGACTTCTCCACACACTGGCATAAAGGTGACAAGAGAATATCAGAAAGCAGGTAGGAAGGAAAAGTCTAAGTAAGAATAGAAGAATTACGTAAGAATAAGCAGATACGCGACAGACAGGAAATAGATCCACTCAGGTCTCTAGGACAGTAAATACAAAAAAGAATACTCACAATTGACACCAGTATTGGGATTAGTGGGGCAGATTCTGTATCTCAGATAGGTCCTAGATTGAATCACTTTAAGAATGCAAATTAGGGACTGGGAAGGTGGCTCAGTGGTAGACTGCTTGCACACACACAAAAAAACAAAACACAATAGCAGACACATTTCTGGACTTCTCAACATTTTCAGAGTATTAACAGAAGCCTGAAGACAATGAAGGGTAATAGAGGCACCCAAAGGATGGCAGCACAACCACCAGCAGTCCATAAAATCAACAATGACTTTCGACAAAAGGAAATGTGGATTCTCTTCACCCTCTGTCTGGAGGACTACCAGAAGTTCCCTTCTGGGGCTATTCTTGCCCTTCAGTGCAAACTCAGAGCACAAGAGATTCTGGGTAAGTGCTCTAGCACTGAGCTACATCCCAACCCTCTTGCCTACCTTTGATGAGCTCTGGCCTGTAGGTCTTGCGCAGCTGCTCCAGGAAGTTATTGTAGAAGCTTTCTGCCTGCTCTGTGGGCATTGCCAGGTGGAAGTCAGGCTTGTTCCCCTTGAGGACACACTGGAGTGTAAACTGGCTAACACACAGCACTTCATATTGTTTGTCCATCACACTCTTGGACCAGTGCTTCCCACTCTCATCCTCAAATACACGCAGATTTAAAATCTTTCGGACCCTATAGGGAAAAGAGCAGTGAAATCCAACTGAAGGATCACAAGGCCCCCAACACATTCTATACTCTCAAATGTCCCCAGCATCCTGGCAAGTAAGGACATTATTAAAGTCCATCACCTATATAAAGCATCACCTTAGGCTGTTCAATGTGGACAATTAGGCAAATATTCTGAGAACACTCATAGGAACTACAAATATGTAGAAAGTTCTGGGAAATGACACCAGATAATTGTATCATCACAGACTCCCCAAGCCCATAGGGAGTTCCCCATAATTGTGTGAATGACAAAGGACCAAGGAAGTGGACTATGTAATGGTTATAGGTCAAATTTAAGAACCATGAAAGAATCATCAGCAAGAAATATGAAATTCTACCACCTGAGAGTCACTCTGTAATGCTGATGGCAAGCAGATTTCCATCTACTGACCCTTTACATAGTGTCTTCTGTGGCAGTCACTGTATTACTAGTGCTCTGAGACCAAGGCTTATCTTATGGTGAGTCACATCTCTTAAATGCCAAGTTGATATTAGTTATCTAGTATGTCACAGCCATTGTGTCAGTTAGTTTTATTATTACTGTGACCAAATATCTGAGAAAAAAAAACTTAATGGGAGGAATTAGGGGACTGGAGGGGTGGCTCAGGTGGTAGGGCACCTGCCAATTATAGATAGTGAGTTTGAGTCCTGATCTTGGACTAGAGATCTACAAGTAGAGTTGTGGCTCAAATGGTAAAGAGTGCTAGCTTTGAGCAAAAGAAACTCAAGTATAGTGCCCAGGCCCTGAGTTCAAGCCCCAAGACTGGCACCAAAAAAAAAAGAAGAGAAAAATATACCTTTAAGCTTTTGGGGTTGGAGGCATGGCTCAGTTGGTAAAGAGCTAGCCAATGAGCAAAAGCATCTGGTACCAAGTTTAAGCCCCTATCTTGGAGGGGGAAAAAAAAGAGAAAAGAAAAAAAAGGACTTATGAATTTTTTCTCATAGTTTCAGTGGTTTTTTTCGATTCACAGTGTAAGAATGAGTCTGGCACAGCAGCCTGCATCATTGCAGCCACTAAGGAGAGAAGTATATCGAAGGAGAGGGGAGAAGAGTGGAAGAAGAGGGAGCAGGAGGAAGGGAGGGAGACAGAGACTATGCCAACAGGCTTTCTCTTTTTCCCCTTTATTCCATATGGGTTCCTTGCCTATGGCATGATACTATTCACAGTCCAGACAGGTCTTTCTACATCTCTGGAAAGACACGAAAGTGTGCTTTACTAATGTCTCAGGCACTTCTCAATTCAATTAAGTTGGCAATCACAATTAACCATCACAAATCCATCCCTTGTCAGCTTAACACCTAAACACATCTACTTAAATCATAACATTCAACCCAGGCTCTGCCCATCTCATGTTCATCTTATAGTTCAAAGTAAATATAGTATATCTCCCAGAAAGCCAATGTCTTCTTAACAGTTCCAACACTGTTGAAAGTCAAAGTTCAAAGTCTACTCTGAGACTCAAGGTAAATGCTTACCTGTGTGCCCATGTAAAATCAAAAGAAGGGGCTGAGAAGGTAGCTCAGTGGTAGAGTGCTTGCCTTGCATGCATGAGGCACTGGGTTCGATTCCTCAGCACCACATACACAGAAAAAGCTGGAAGTGGTGCTTGGCTCAAGTGGTAGAGTGCTAGCCTTGAGCTGAAGAGCTGAGGGATAGCGCCCAGGCCCAGAGTTCAAGCCCCATGACCAACAAAAATTTTAAAAAATCAAAAAGAAAATTTTATCTTCTAATATACAATGGTATAAAATAAACATTTCCATTCCAAAAGAGGGGAATAGGAGCATAGAAAGGAAGAATGGATCAAAGCAAGACAAAACCTAGTAAGGAAACATTAAATCCTACAGCCCCACACCCAGCACCTGGGGGCACATATCCCATACAAAGATCTAGGGTTTAGAAATCCACATCTTACATGTGTTCCAGTTCCTTTTGCGTGTCTTCCAGCGAAATACCCAGTAACACACAGATGCCCTGTCCAATGGCACTTATCTGCTCCCCTCCAACTAGAAAGGAACCAAGAAGGAGAAGACTCAGAAGCAACCTGGTGGCATGAAATGCTTTTTCAGTATCCTTAGAACTGTTTTCAACATCACACTTATATCTTACAACTTCTTTGAATAGTTAGTGAGAAGCTAAAAGTGAAAGGTAATTAAATCCCATCCTCTCTTAATCTAGAATAAATCGGAGCTGTAAAGTGAAAGTCATTAAGCAAGACTAGGAACATATTTTTCATCTGTGTAACCTAAAACTTCTGCTGGTCCAGTTTGCCAGTCAGTAAGACTAGAACAATATTGTCCTCCCCCACAGAATTCAGCTCAGCTAATCTAATTCTCAGGAAGAAGGTTCCTACTTTTCTTGGAAATCAGCAAACACAGTATCACATGAGCAATGTTCACATGATAAAAACAAGTGTTTTTCCTGCTTACTACAGAGAAGATAAATATACATAAAAACTATAATCCAGGCACTCCTGTAATCCTAGCTACTCAGGAGGCTGAGTTCTGAAAACTGATTCAAACCTGCCTGGGCAGATAAGTCTATAAGACTTTGATATCCAAAAGCCAAAAGTACCACTGTGGTACAAGTGGTAGAACACTATCTTTGAGTAAAAAACTCAGAGACAGTGTCCAGGCCCCATGTCCAGCAAAAAAAAAAAAAAAACAGAACAAAACAAAAACATGATTATATGTTAAGTTTCCCCTCAGCAAACTCTAGTATTAAAGTAACATCCTAAGCCAATATCTGCAAATCTTTTTTTTGGGCAGATAAGTCTATAAGACTTTGATATCCAAAAGCCAAAAGTACCACTGTGGTACAATAGAACACTATCTTTGAGTAAAAAACTCAGAGACAGTGTCCAGGCCCCATGTCCAGCAAAAAAAAAAAAAAAAAAACCAGAACAAAACAAAAACATGATTATATGTTAAGTTTCCCCTCAGCATCCTAAGCCAATATCTGCAAATCTTTTTTTTTCTTTTCATGCCAGTGGTTAGTTGGAGATAAGAGTCTCATAAACTTTCCTGCATAGTCGGGCTTTGAACCTTGATCCTCAGATCTCAGCCTCCAAATATGTTTGAATTATGTATCTCATTAAAAAAAATTCCCAAGCAAAACTACCCACATTAATGTATTTGTAAACAAATGCATGTCCTACTAACTTTAGACAATACCTTAAGAGTTGCCACAGAATTTAAGCCAACATTCAGCATTATGATAGTGAAATTAAATTCATATCTCAAATGGCAACATTGATAACTTCCTCTTTTTGTCAATTTTTTGCCCAATTTCACTAGATTATTATTGTCTTATTGTTTTGTTGTGTACTGACCTAATGTTCCAATCAGGAATAGAAGGTCAATTTGACTTTTTCCTATTGTTTGCTTCTGCTGTGTAATAATATAAATATGCCTAGCAAGGCAACATGGACCATACCATGTTGCAATATATTACAAGTTAAGGAAAGAAAAACTCCAAGCTGGATGCCAGTGACTCATGCCTACAATCTTGGCTATTTAGGAGGCTGAGATATGGAGGATAGCAGATTGAAGCCAGTCTGAGCAGAAAAGTTCTCAAGACTTCATCTCCAAAATAATCAGAAAAAAGCATAGCTCAAGTGGTAAAACACCAACAAAGTGAGCGAGCACAAGGCTCTGAGTTCAACCCCCAGTACCACCAAAGGAAAAAAAAAATAAAGAAGAAAAAAAGCTCTCCTCTTTCTTCAGGTATCTGACAGGACTCCAGGATCTATGTATTCCTGAAAAAAAACACCAAAACTTAATTCCTCTTATTGTTTTTTGTTTTTATTATTGTGAAAATACTGTACAGAGGGGTTACAATTACATGAGCAAGGTAATGAGTACATTTCTCCTCTTACTGTTATGCTGAAAAAAAAATTTGGTGGGGGGAGGGTCTAGTCGTGGGGCCTGAACTCTGGGCCTGGGCACTGTCCCTCAGCTCTTCAGCTCAAGGCTAGCGCTCTACCACTTCCGGCTTTTTTTCTTTTTGCTTA